CTAGGCGATACCTGTTCGTTACTGTTCGCGCCTGTCTCCGTCGCTCGCGCGGATTTCCTTCTCGCGCGTGAAAAGAAGTTCGATTACGGTGATTCGCGAACTAAATGTGTGCCGAACATTCTGTTTCTTCTCGCGGCGACGTGATATTCGCGCTGAATGTGATAAACGCTGGACGCCGACGCCGACGCCGGACGCCGTCGCTGGACTTTCCGAACCCGTCGTGTCCCCCCCTTTCCTTTCCTTTCCTTCCGTACGTATTTGGCGGTTCGCGCGTTGTTCTGTGGTCGGTGAATGAGTTCATTTGTGAGGAAGAAGTGATTTGAGGCGAGACAGATCCGAATCCTGGTCTTTAATTACTCGCGCGGACTTCGTGACTCCCATTTTGTGAGATTTCCGTGAACTCGTGTCGATTTCTTTCGAATATGATCCCTCGCGCAGTGCGTGCAATACCCAGTGAGAAATGATTCGTCGATCGACGTCGAAACGACGTCGAATCGACATCGGCACCGCCGAATTGATGTCGATTCGACATCATTTCGACGTCAATCGACGAATCATTTCTCACTGGGTAGTGGATACAAATCTCGTGAAGAGTGAGAGATCTTTAAGACGCCGTGCGTGGAATTGAAAGTTAATTGATATTCGTCGTCCCGCGTGCATTTTGTGCGGTGAAACGGTAACTCGCGTCTTCTATTTCCGTCTCGATTTCTGCTTCGAGTGAATGCGCGGGACGAAGCTGCAATGAGCCTCTCGTCGAACGTAGTCGTAATTGATTGCCGATTGTTCGCGAAAGGAGGAAGAGGACCAAGTGCACAAGTGAGTGTTAGTCTAGTGTTGTGCTTCGAAGGAAACCAGTGCAGCCGGCCATCCGAGAGGACAGCCCGAGTGGAGGAGGAGGCCTGAGCAAGGGCATCAGGCATCGGCGGAGCAACCTTGCGGTACTTATCCTTCATTTTGCGCAAACGCGACCTTTTTCGCCGTTTTTTTTCGAGTCATTATATCGCACCATAACTTAACAATTGGAGAGAAAGAAGTAATTCGAGATTTTATCAAGGTTCGTCCCTGTGAGTTTTTTTTTCGAAAGACGTTCAATTATTCAAGTATAAATATTTAATTGAACAGAAAGTTCATTGTGCGTGAGAATTATATTTTGAAATTTCGTTTTCTTAACACTGTTTGAATATTAATTTTATGTTTGTGCATTACAGAATCATCGTAGCGACGTTGCAGTTGTAACTCCGCTGCTGCGCGTCAGTGTTGGTGAGTGATGAATTAATTTTTATTATTGAGGTAACGGATCCGTGATAGATTTGTTGAATATACATACTTTGATGCACATATGTATTAATTTGTTAATGTAAATATAGTAAATAGAAATATAAAGCATTTCGTGCATCCGTTACCTTAAAATTGATAAGTTAAAACAGATTAGGAGAAATTTAATCCTGGATTTTACAATTATATATCTTTTGTTGCCTAACTTAGTGTGTATACGAGAATGTACTCTTGCACACACTACGTACAAAGGAAAAATTGAGAATACCATGAGAATATGTAATATTTATTAATTATTTTAATTAACAATGCTATTTAGTCAATTAAAGTTTATTTTATTCAGCACATGTGTGCATTACATTATTCTTCATAAATATACTGACAAAGAAAGAAAAGGTAATAAAACAAAATTATTATAACAATTGAGATATTGACTTTTAAAAGTACTGCTGTACTTAAGTTTACTCATGGTATTCATACATATAATATGTTGTAATCCACAGGAAACGGAATAAGTATAAAATGTTTGTATATTGTTATTTATGATATATGTTATTTTTTATTACTTCTATCATTTCGTTCTCTATTTCACTACAATCTTTTGTCCAGGATTAAATTTTATATAAGTTAGTGCAGAAAAGGAATATATGTATATGTATATGAATATTCCTTTCATAGTATTTTTAATTTGCTTATATACGTTTGTATTGTAATAATTAAATTACAACAAATATTTTAGCGTAATAATTTCATACAAATTATTAATATATTTTTATAAAAGATACTTATGGTTATTACCTACTTTAACGCACTAACTTTAACCTAAACTTTTATAACTTATATGTAGTTGTTGATAACTGGGTTGTATACCAGTTAGTAGTATTATGACGTGAGATCCAATATACATTTTGTTATGAAAGAGGTGACTCAGCTTTTTCTAGAAATTATTTTAAAATCGATCGGTTTCGAGTCGCTTAAAAATACTTGAGTTGTAAATTAAGAAACATGGTATAACATATTACGCAACAAATAGTTCTAATAATCTACGAAGAGATATTTTTATTAAATTCTGTAATTCTAATTGGGAAATTTATATTATCCCTTTCGGATCTCACGTCATTCATCTGAATTTTTCATCTCTGCACGCTTTTGAGATGAGATTCAGAAACGAATCGTTCGAATCGATGAAAATACGCACATGGCCCTTAGATTCAATCGGATGACGCGCCTAGCAATTTTTATTCATTAATTTCCAAATTAAAGTTTCGTTGTTTTTTACTTTATCGAGTTTGAAAGTTTTGTGTAAAGTTTAGAATCGCGATCCCTTCGAATCAAAACGCTGTCGAGATAGAGATTTTTTTTCTAATCGGTTATATACCTATGTATTTTAATTATTGGACACATATTTTAATTGCGAATAAACGCGTGTAAAGAATAAATTCGTGATGTAATTATTATTTTTATTGCTCACAGAACGCTGTACGTAATTGATTTAATTAATTTGATGACCCCTTCGCGACGCGTTCGTGTTTCGCGCATCATACAAAAGCGTAGAATCTTACGCTTATTGCTGGCTCTGATAAGCCGGCAGCAGAAGAAGTATATCTCCTTGCTGTCGATTTCTGGCTACGTAAAGCCAGGGTATTGGCCAGAAAAAGGTGAGTTTGTCTGGCCAGAAGAAAGACAACGAAGTAGAGTACACAAGTGGTGTACGTATAACAACGTGCGATTGCACGTAATCGAAGACGGAAATATACCGTCTCCAATTAAATGAAACTTCTCTATATTCCGCGTAAATTAAAATCCAAATTAAAACTCCCAAACGGTCGCGATTTAAAATGAAATTCGGTCTTCTAAAATTTCAGGTAACCGCGCTCGTAACTAAAAGTATACTAATGATAAGGTAGGAATATTATGTACGTAGGGAGAAATACGGGTAAAAACCAGATAAATATCGGATCGGTAGGAAAATGATTAACAAGAGTACGAGATAGGGATATGGGGCTGTAATTTTCGGCAATAAAGGGAAATTTAATTAGTACGATAATTTATTACAGGTAGGAAAAGTAAGAAATTTTCAGGTAGGGAAATGAATATGTGACTACACGGGTAGGTAGGATTGGGGGATTATTCGATGAATAAAACAATTTATTTACTTGGTAGATTTATTGCACATTTTTATACAGCGGATAAGTGTAAGAATGGGGTAGGTAGGATTGGGGGATAATTTCGGGTGGGAAAATTTATTTACTTTATAGATTCATTATTGTACACTTTTATGGAAGTGAATTTTACAATTTACTTTTTTATACAAATTTACTTGCACAAAAGTGTACAATAATAATGCAAAAATATGTATAATAATAATGAGATATGGTTATGAATTATATACTAAATGATATATTTTGTCGCGAAAATTGTTAATATCAAATTGTATAACATCGTACAAAATTGTATGTCTAATTTGTGTAAACGGATTACACGAAATCGAAATGCATATAACACGAAATTACTTAAATTAAAAAACATTAATTATCATTTTTTCTCAATTTCATATTTTATATCCTCTTATTGACTTTCGTGATAATCTTTTAGCAGTGAAAATCCTTAATCATTTCGGGAAATTTTAAAAAAATTTGTGTTGGAGATTGTTGCCAACTTTTCAAATGTATAAAAATTCAAAATTTTAATTAAATCACGAAGATTTCATGCTAAGCTTGTGATCGAATATTAACTTTTTCTCATAACATTTGACTTTTACGTTTTAGAGATTCGCGAATGTAGTTCGAGAGAATAGTCTCGAGATTTTGGTAACGTTTTTATCAGTTACAAGTTAAAAATCGCGAAACAAAGCTGAAGTTAGATGTAAAGAAAACGATTTATTGTTGATTCTGAAACTAAATTAATTCTAAAACAATTTTCTAAAATTCTTTCGCCAAATATTTGCGAATACCGCGTTCTTACCACGTCTTCCTCGGCGATAAAATCTTATCGCCCTCGCATCAGGTAAACGTATTATACTTTTAATACACAGTTGGAAAATTTGTGTTTTCTGGTTAAAAATCATGCCGGTTAAAATTGTTATGTTAAATGTTTAACACATTCATGTGCTAATTTAATATATGTATTGCTCTTGTGTTAAGTGACCCCCCCTCTCTCTCTCTCTCTCTCTCTCTCTCTCTCTCTCAAATGTAAAATTATTAAAATACTGAAAAGAAATTTTAAAACAACACAATGTGCACTTATTTTTTAATCTTACAGAATACATATGTTCTATATTATAAGTAACAGATTTATCTGTTAAAATTTATCTGTTAAAATTTCCAGAATAAAATGTTGAGTTTATTGTATATAACATAAGTGAGAGTGATTTCGAACCGTCATTTGACTTATTACTGTCTGTAAAACGTAAAAATTATATTTTTAAAAATTCATTTTGTCATTAAAAATGTGTTAATTTTACACAAAATTTATTTTAAATTATTTAGAGATTTGCATTTATTTTGTGTTACAATATTAACAGAGTATTAGTGTGATCATTTAATATATCCATATTATGTTAAATTAGCACAAAAATTGGTTTGGACCGTTTAAGACATGTAATATCTATTAAATTTAACACAAATTTTTCAACTGTGCATAGATAAATGGCCCCATTTTTTCGCATTCGGTTTTGGTGACAAAATAGGTGCCAAACGAAAGATTTCGTCACGCTGATTACAGATATGTCAATCTCAGAGTGTACCTATGGTATGGTATTTACTCCAAAGGTTCCAGTGCCGAGAAATGGCGTTATAAATGCCTTTGACCGAACCTATTGGTTAGATACAGGAAATAAAAGAGCCCCAGATAATAATTCACTTAATCCACTTAAAACTTATCAGGTTCATAGAAAATGCAGGGCGATGTCATTAGCATCTACCATTGGTAAACCTTTTAGTCGGCTCCAATTCGGTTTTGTGCCCGATATCTCTAGAACGTCAAATAGGTACACTCTGAGACTGACATATCTGTAATCAGCTTGACGAGACCTTTCGTTTCGGCACCTACTTCGTCACCAAAATCGAATGCGAAAAAAGTGGGCCCGATCTTGTTCTCACTCTTTCATACATAACATTTATGGCAGAGAAAGCATCTCTACTGCGGAACCGTTCCACCCGAATTTAGCTACGTTTGCGCGTTAGTTTCTTGTGCAAAATGAATACAATATTTTTGTCCAATTGTGTAGCGACTTGCATGACACGTACGCGAGTCGCCACTTCCGCGGGTCCGCGGCTACCTTGCGAGAGGACGAATCGCGCGATTCACGACGGAATCGCGCGCTCGCATTATCCACGATGATGCCGAGGCATACCTATCCGGCTTGTGCCTCGCATACTGGATCAGATACTCAATATAGAGGAGCCGAGAGAAAGCCGCTATTGTCCGTCTACGCGCACCTAGTATCCAACATCCCTGCCTATTATTGATCGTGATACCTGCATGCCGAAGGATTGTCAACCGCGTCGCGATGTCCCCGATGCATCTCGGCGCACATGACTCGTCGACATTTGTCGACGGATCTGCCGGAAGCTGTCGCGAAGCTGATTGTCAATTGTCTTGGCATTGCGCTCGCCGATCTTCCGAGCGCTTGCTTAATTAAGTCGGTTCATTATCGATGACGAAGTTACAAAATTTTGCGACACTCGGTAGCTTCCGGGATTATAAAATCGCGAACTTGCGTAACTTCAAGATATTCACTTCGCCAAGTTCGGGGGAATACTTTGAAGCTAGTTCTCGATCTTTTTCCGATGCAACTTGTTTACCGTCTCTTTTGGGTACCAGTAGTTCTCCGGGAGCGAACGGTAACTTGAAATCGCCAGTGCACACTCTCGACTTCCGCACCCACGTCGGTCCGACACGGTGTTATTAACCCGAAATGTTTCGCGATGGGGGACAACGGGAGACGTAACTAACGGGGATTTTCTCTTTTCCACCTTTGTCTCTTTGTATTTGCCGACCAGGCAGAAACTGATATGAGACGCGCCGACATATTACTTCAACTTGGGCGCTGATTAGCACGCGGCGCATATGGAGAAATGCCGGGAAATGCGACGAAACGGAGATAAAGCCTAGGCGAGACCGTCGGGATTACGCGGCGAAGATAAGCGGGCGCGGTCAAATTGTACGCGGCCGTTCTCTCCGCGCAAAACGCTCATTTCGGAGGAAATTAATTTTCTTCGAACTCTCTCTCGCTCCCGCGTTCGAAAACTAATTTCCCCCCGAAACGCCCGCACGGCGGATGGCGAGCGAGGATTGATTTTGCACGCCGGATTGTAAACGAACGCCGGGGCGACATTCTCTCTCGCGAAAATGCCTCTGAAATAAATCTGCGCGCTGCATTTTGCGTGTCCGCGCTTCCCCCCCTCCCCCCCCGTTCGATTGTGACTATCCTTGATTCCACGCGTTTGCGTGCATCTCGAAACTTATGCGATCCCGCGCTTGTCAGCGAACTCTGATAGCGAATTCGGTTGGTTGCACTAGTGCGCACTGAGTGCACACTAATAGCGTTTTTCACTGGAAGGAACTGAGTGCGCACCGAAATTGCACAAGTGCACACCGATACTGCACGATGTTTCTGAAAGTGCGAGTTTCTTGCACTCCCAGTTAAACATTCGACGCAGATCAAGTGTCACGTTTTTTCGTTCTTAACCTTTCTACGTACGTACGAATTTGTTATAATGGAAGAATTTGAAGTGAATTTTAAAGTGAATGATAAGTTGCTAACAATAAAACTGCAACCAAGCGAAGTGGGACTTTACAATAAAGTTTTCGATTTTTGGAATTTTTCGTGATTCTTCATTCCAAAGTTTTTCGTCACTACTAGATGATGATGATGAGGATAGCACATCTAAAAACTGGTATTAATATCCCGCGCTGCCATATTGCACTAGATCGACACCGTCTTGGGGCTCGTGCCGAGTTTCTGCACTAAAATGCAAAAACTCGACACCAAGTTTTCCAGTGAAACAGTGCGCACCGCCTTCGTGCACACCGAAAAGCTCAATGAAACACGCTGCTCTTGACTAGTGCGCACTCAGTGCGCACTAGTGCAACCAGTGAAAAACGCTATAAGCCTTGTTTCCAGTCAATTCTTACATTTAAAGATCATCTTAAATACCTCTTGCAATATTTCTTATCCAGAAAAATGGTCTGTACAACGTTTACACGGATCATTTCTTTTTTTTATTAAATACCCTTTGAACGTGTATTTAAGACAAAGTTAAATATAAAAACTGACTATAAACAAGCCTTAGTGTGCACTCGTGCGCACTAGTGCAAGTAACCGAATTCGCTGTGAGTAACGCGGCCTCCCGGATGTCGCAGCAAGTTCTCGTTTCGCGATTATTCTCGCGTGATTCCGCGGAGTCCTTTACTTCGGCAGATCCTTGAATACTTCGCGGCCGAAGCGACTATTAATAGAAATGCGAATCACGAGGCGGGGGCAAGGTTGCTGAAGGAGCGCGGCCGTCTCGACTTCGCGAAGTCGGTCGCGCGAGTACGCGCCTATTAATAAACAAAATTAATCGCATTTGCACAGATGCGGCGCCGCGGCGCGCGTGTGTCGCTTCATCCAATGGGACGTGACGGCTCGATCGGAATATCCAATGTGTAGCCGAGCGATAAGAGCGAGCTAATAGCGGTCGAGATATCAATCTGCGACATTCTAACGATAATTCAGTTATGAAATACAATCTTCGGTCTTATCTGCGCCGTCTAATTAACGTTTAAGGACATTCTTAATTGTAGGGTGAGGTGACCAAACTCCGCATCAGACACCAAATGCGGATCAATCACTTCAATTTGGCTCTTTTATGCAGGGTGTTGGACTGACAATGAATCTAATCCGCTCTATTCGTATAAATAAGAGGTTAGGCCGTGTGTCATAAACAATTCTTCGCGCGCCTAGCAACGCTGATCGCGGGACAGCCGCATCTCACTGCGAGCTTGAATTGGGCGGTGGGCCATAATAATTAATAACTCGTTAACTATTGGGAAAATTGCAAAATGGTAGAGGACTTTTCGACTCAGTCTAGTCCGCTCTATCCGTAAATAAGAGGCGAGGCGGGTATTACACAACGCCCTGTATATTTACAACTTTATGCTGTGTTGTCGGTATCATAAAAGGCACCGGCGTGTTCTCGCGTCGCTCATTAGCGACTCATCAAATTGCCGATCCACATTTCCGCTCCGCATGTGGTCACCTCACCCTACAGATTTCAACTTCCGTCTCCTCTCGAGAAACACAGCCCGAATCGTGTTCCTCTCGACGCCCCGGCACTTTGCGTCCGTATCGATTCTCGTCTTCGGTCCTGAAATCACGGCCGAGAGAGATTCCAGCCGAATTGCGGGCTGGACATCGCGCGGCTCACCGCGGCTCGTGCTCGAGGCCGAGGCCGACCGAGTGGTGCCGAGCCGGGTCGAGCTGAGCCGAGCGGAGACAAGCTTAACGAGCGGACGACGTCGACGACGAGCGCGCGCGCTCGCTTCGTTGCGGCGCGGCGCGGCGCGGCTACGCGCGGAGCCGCGATAAAGCCGACGAGCAGAGCGGATGCGCCGCTTCGCAGCGGGTGACGCGACTGCAGCTGCACGCCCATTCAGTAGCGGACGCGCGTTCGACGCCAAGGCGCACTCGTTTTCGCTCGTACGGAGCAAGAGGAAGCTCCTCCGGCCCGTCGAGAGGAGAGACGAGATCGAAGCGCTGCTGAAACCTGCGGGTTTCAAATAGATGCTCCAAAGTTGCGACGCGGTGCTATCTTCGTCTCGTTATCGGCTCCAACTTTCCAAGTTACGCCGCGACAAAAAGTAACGAGCGAGAGTCCCCGAGAGAACGACAAAGGGGGGAAAAAAGAACTATTCTCCTGGGAGAGATAAAGGGATTTTATTGTCAATATAGGCGATCGAGAGTAATTCCTTTCCATTTGAGTCGCGGAGACGCCGTGAGATTAAGAAGCCGTCGGGGAAAATGGGCCTCGCAGTTAGGGGGTTGATGGAATCGTACGTTCGACTTCCGTCGACGAGAGAGCGGTTTCACTCTGGTCGCGAAATGCGCTCAATTCCGCGAACGGTCCAATTAGCGTCCCCCGATGATCCGATATCGCGCAGCCTCTCGCCGTCCTCGCTCCGGGAGTCCGGCTCGCGCGTACCTCCGCCCCTGTTACGAGCCGGTGGTGGTTTACTCGCTCGGCGTCCGCCCGCTTCTCTCTCACCACCTCGCTTTCTTTCTCTCGCGCGCGCGAGACGAGGCGAGGCGAGGCGCGTCGCGCGCGCGGAGCCGCGCGCGCGGAGACGCGCTGAGTCGAGAATCGAGTCGGGTCGAGCGGCGCCGAGCGGTGCCGAGCGGGACCGAGCGCCGGGGTCGAGCGGAGCCGAAGGCCCCGCCGCGGTGGTCGTGACGCGCGCGCGGCGCGCGGCGGCACCGCGCGCGAGTAGCACCACACCGGCGGAGCGTGTGTGTGCGTGCGTGCGCGCTCCTGTCCGCTTACTCCGCTCGCGCTCCGTTCCGCCTGGCTCGTACTGAGACTCCAGCAGAGTCGTTGGCGTCCTCGCGCGCGCGCGTCATCGGCGTCCGCCTCGTCGGTGCCGCTGCCCCCGGTCAATCGTCTTCCCTCGCCGCGTGTGAGTACGCCGCGTCCCTTCCGACTGGCCCGCGCGCGTGCATGGACGACACGCGCGCACGAGCCGACGAGGATATAGCCCTGGATTCGTCCCGCTTACGCTCGTCCGCTCGGCTCGGCTCCGCCGCGAGCATCGCCGCCGCCGCCGCCGCCGCCGCCGCTGCCGCCACCACTGCCACCGCCGCCACCGCCGCCGTCGCCACTACCACCACCTCCGCCGCCTCCTCGGCCGCCGCCGCCACCTGCCGCGTCGCGAGGCGCAAGAGAAAGAAGAGGAGGCGTCAGCGACTTGCTACGAGCAACGACGACGCGCCCGGCGTCGCCGTCGTAGTCGAGAGCACCGCGACCGCCACCGCCGCCGACGTCGCCGCCGCCGCCGCCGCCGCCGCCGCCGCCGCCGACGACGACGCCGACGCCGTCGTCGTCCTCGAGCCCGACGGTGACGTCGCCGTCGACGCGGCCGACGCCGACGCCGCGGCCGACGACGACTCCGACGCCGCGGAGACAGACCCAGCGGCGGCGCGGGTCGATAAACTGAGGAGCCGCCTCCTCGGCGAGCAGCACACGAGCGGGGTCGGTGGGGAAGCAGCCCAGCAGCTACGCGTCGGAGGAAGCGGCTCGCGCGCGGCGGCCGCCTCCTCCGTCGGCACCACCGCCGGCGTCACGCTTCTCAATCGACGCGCCGGCAAGCGCTCGCCACGGCGATGCAACGCCGGCGGACGTAGAAGCGCGATGACGATGGACCTGCAGCGGCTGATCAACGAGGTGCACGCGAGGCCCGCGATCTGGGACCAGAAGAACGTCAACTACCACAACCGCGACGTCATACTGAGAATGTGGCGGGAGATCGCGAGGGCATGCGAGGTGTCGAGTGAGTATACGGGGCCCGGCCGGCCGCTGCTCCGGTCCCCCGATCGACGGGGCTGCGACGCTCTCTCTCTCTCTCTCTCTCTCTCTCTCCTCCACCGCTCCGAGCGCTGTTCACTGCAACGCGTTCGCGTGCGTATCGCCACGCACGTGCGCGTGTGGGTGGCTCGCCGGCGAGACTCGGTTGGTCGCCGGTCGGCAGGGTGGGATGCGCTGCCTACGAGTCCATTGGTCGAGCCGGGTCTCTACATTGTAAACGTACGGAGAGGCTCTCCGGCGTCGCGAGCTCTCCGCGACCTCAGGGTCACGGAGAGATATCTCGGCATGCCTAATGCGAATACGTGAGAGAGGGGGGGGGGCAGGGACGAGGTCCGGCGAAATCGGGGGAGGAACGGGAGGGCGAGAGGCGTCGGTAAAGACGAAGAGTCGAGCGCGCGCGGGCCTCGAGAGCGCGATGCGCCGCGCCGGCCGGCCGGCCGAACGCGGACCGCTCGCTGGAACCGCGCTCGTCCGGAAGGTCGATAGCTCGCGAAAGGAGAGGCCGGCCAGACGGACAGGCTGCTAGTTCGCGCGGATCTCCGCCAGGTTGCACGCCGATACCGCGGGGTATGCGCCACGGGTTTCCTGCTTTTTTTTTTCTTCCTCTTCTGCTTCCCGAGCGAGCGGAGCACGTGCGCGATCCGTCACGACGATATCGTAGGGTGATGCTCCGCTGACCGGGATAGCTGACTCGTAACCTGGTCACAATGTCTGGAAAATGTTCACCCGTTACCAATAGTTGTACAGCACGATTGTTACTCGCAGGGTGTGGAAAGAGAGGGTTGAGAAAACGAAGCGAGAAAACCCAGCAAACGTAGATCGATAAATTCATGTTTTCGGAATCGTACAATTCTTCAGTTTGGTTAAGATAAATTCCATCTATTCGGAAGAAGAGAACGCAGCGATTCCTCAAACTCCAAGATTTGCAAAAGGTTTCCACACTCCTCGCGTTTCCACGCGCGCTCCTCACCTTCGTATCGCGAGTCCTTCCAAAATAAATAATTGTTTACGAAAATATGAATTTTTCGACTATGCTTGTTAGGATTGTTTTGCTCCGTTTTAATACTGTCTGTTTTTAACGCCCTGTAAACATCTATTATTTGCAAACATTGTCTTCGCATAATTCGCGAGATTCGAGACTCAAGACGGTTATTGTGCGTTACTTGAAACAAAAATTCGGAGCGTAAAGCCGCATCTACACTATATAACAAAACATGCTATATAGCAAAGTTATACAACTTGTTACAAAAAGAAAAGAAAAAATGTTATATAACATGATGTTGTATAACATTTTTCGTGTTATATAGCAGGTTATATGTTATCCATTAGTTGTCGGTAAAGATCAAAGGAAGTTATAAAACTTTATGTTTATGAGGTATTCAAAATCAAAACTTGTCATCCTTGCAAAGTTTTTGAAACTACCGTCACACCGAATTTCTCCCGTCAATATATCTCTGTCATCTCTTTCAAGATCTGCTATAAGGGTTGTACCACTATATTTTTTTCGAGCTTCTAATGATGGTCGCACCCAGAATCGCCGTTTAGTTCTAATATGTTGTCTAGTCAAAATTACACAAGCTGCTGCTGCGAGAATTGCATCCTCTACGTTTGACGCCATTATGAATACTGAGATGAAAAATGTTTAACAACTTGTACATAAAATTATTGTTACAAAAATAGTGTCCAATAACAAGTTATATGAAGTCATATAACAAGTTATACAACAATGTTAAAAACAAAACAAAAACATATAGCATGTTTTGTTACATAGTGTAGACCCGGCTTTAGACATTATCTCAAAGGTACAGGACAGCTATTCTGCTGAGGCCCTAAATACTCCAATGCTAAAATAATGAAAATACTATAAGTCGCATTCGATCGATAAATCGTTCCAATTGATTATCGCGAGTAGAAAGGTGGCGAGTTCGCTTATTATACGATTTAAACGCTCGATCTCAAACGTCTCGTCGGTAAACTGGAGAAAGGAAACTAACGAATAGCGGGTAAATTTTGGGGCGAGTATTTCGAGGGGCTCTTTCCAAGTGACGCACGTAAAAACGCGGCCCCGTCGCTCTGTTCCAGCGGACGTCGCCAAGTCCAAGTGGAAACACCTGCGCGACAACTTTCGGAACGAGCTGAAAAAGACCTATCGGGGCAAGTGCGACGGTGTCGGCGGCACCGAGCACGACTCCAAATGGGTCTGGTTCAAGAGCCTGTTCTTCCTGCGGGACCAAATGAACTCGAGGGTGATCGGCTGCGCGCTGTCGCAGAACTGCGTCGGCGCGACGGTCGGTATGCGCTCGTCACCGGACGGCACGCAGATCGAGCCGCAGATCGATATACTCGAGGGCCACGAGGAGACGCAGTTCGACGACCTGGACGGCGACTCCTGCCAGTCGTTGCTGTCTAACGATGACGGCCTGCACCAGGTAATGCCTCCGCCCAAGATGAACAAGATAATCGGCCGGAAGCGGGCGCTGATGGACGCGATCGACAACGATTACGGCGTGGAGGTGGATCGAAAGCGGTACGAGTCGCTGCAGAAGAGGCTGGCGATCGGCCCCGAGGACGAGGACGACACCTACCACTTCCTCATGAGCGTGCGGAATCCCCTGAGGAGTCTGCCGCTCGACAGGCAGATGTTCGTTCGTCTCAAGATTCAGGAGTTGGTCTACAACGAGATCAACTCGCAGAATCAGCAGCAGACCGCGGGCCGCGGAGTCTACGACGCTTCCTCGCAGGGCCAAGACGTGAAACCCCCGCGCGCCGGCAACGGCGGCAACGGCGTCGTCGTCGGCGGCGACGTCGTCAGCGACATGTCAAATCCGGCGTCGTTGCTGCAAAACTGCACGCCCGAGGGCACCGGCGACGACGCCTTCTTCGGCTGACGAGAGCCCGTTTGCAGTTTAATTTGCTAATAGGCGTAAGGATTATAATTTTAATAGAGAATAAACAATGGTATTTTTTCAATAACACTCGCGCAATCTTGGAGCGCGTTCTCTCTCCCCGTCCCGTCACGTCCCATCGTCGATTCCTTTCAGCTTGTACGAGTTTTCAATTTAAAACCGCAGCCGTACGGTGAAATTTTCTCGTTTGGCGAATCAACTCAAGATATCGCTAGGGAGGCAACTTCTTTAGATAAGATCGCGTTCGCGTTCGCATCCGAGCGAAGAGAAAGAAATCGTTCGCGATAAACCCAAGTTGCTTAAGGCCGCGATGAATTTAACCGAGAGGATAGTCCTGTAATTTACCGTCCCATTTCGCGAAATTAAGTCGTCCGTGAAACGGGTTTGCATGAATATTCACAAAAATTAATAAACGCCATTCGACATGTATACTATCGCTTTACAGCGGGGAAACGACACTTGAAATATCTTCGCCTTTGTCGTCGGCTGGTCAGAGGCCTTTTAATTAATGCGGCACCGGTCGCCGGCGCAATTAGTGTTATTAGCGCCCGCACCTATCTACGTCATAGACAGAGACCTAATTATGTTTTATCGTGGTAATTGATTTCTCGGTTCGCGCATTTCGCCGCGTTTTTCACTCATCGCGATTAAAAGGCGCGCGGGTCAGCGGGAAAAACATCTACGTTAAAGCTGATCCGGCTCGACGAGGGCAGCGATCAGGCAACGTGAGGGAGAGGTTGCCCTGATCGTGGGAAAATAAACTGGGAGGGCGCGGAATCGACCGAATTTACCAACGTCGCACGTACATCACGTTCGTTAACGCCGAGGGGGAAACCGCTGACCAAAATCTTGTACATACACCAATGCCCACTAATGCCCAGTGGACATTACTGTATCTTGTTATCTTATTTTATCTTATTTTATCTTTATAATGCCCCAACAAGGCCTAATGCCCAAACTAATACCTATATAATGCCTAGTAATGCCGCAAATCTGTACACCACAATGCCCTCATCGGTTTATCCCTAGATATTATAAATTCTTTCTCAAGACACTTTTACGGCATTCAGCTTGATTATGCGTGTACTCGGTCTCGCAGATGTGTGCATAAGCGACGAAAGTTAACGTACAAGCAAGGATAAATTATTAAAGGGACATATTAACCTATTTATATCAGTGAGGCTCGAAGCATGTTGTGCGAAACCCGTCGCTTTCTTTTTTACGACGGATTCTAGTTTCGACGAGTTTCCTGAAAAACCAACTAATGAGGTACGGAACGTGAATAGAGGTATCGCACCTGCGTCATTACGACACTCCTCTCGAGGATTGTAAACCCTCTCATAGCGCTGAAAAGTTCTCGCAAATCTTCCATCTAAACATTTTTTGTAAGAATGTTTTAACAATTCATACCGAAAACACTTTGGCCATCTCGACGTACGAGCTGCGTGAATTTCGCAAAAATTGTGTCTTTTATTGATGATATTAACATGGAGACGTCTCTTATGAAATGACCGAGTTATATGATAAAATTATTAAGACCAGGGCCCCGATTCTTGAATTCATTCGAAGAAGAAACGTATACGAAAATTCTGCTCTGACAGAAAAGTTGAAAGTTGATTGGCTATTCGCATGGCTTTAACCAATCGACTTTCAACTTTTCTGTAAGAGCAGAATTTTCACATACGTTTCTCCTTCGAATAAATTCAAGAATCGAGCCCCAGGCATTTTATCTTGATACGTAATTCAGACAAACCTATCATGTTTTCTAATATTGAAATAATACTGATCGATGGATGGGTAGCGTTATATGCTGTGAAAATTAATGGCATACCGTTCGTTATAATATGTTTTTTTTTGGTACGCACGGGAGGGAACTGAGTAAAATATGAGGGCGTGTAGTCACGTTATTACTCCGTCCTACACGTTGCAAGCGGAATAGAAAAACAGAGTCATTCTGCCCGGACTGTGTTGATGGGTGGACATCGATCATTTACTGGTCACGCGTGCTGGAACAGCGCGTATCGATCATATTTTCGAAAAAAAGGAAAAGCTTCGCTTTATCATAATGATTATGTCCGACAGGACAGCGTTATTTTTTGCACACGTTCACTACAGATTTATTAAATTAAAAAACTGATTACCGAAAAACGACACACGAAAATGTACACCTTATGAGTTAACGGGATAAAATTAATGGAATTAATTCCAATTAATATTTTTATTTGCTCGTTTATTGCTGAAAAATCGCCTAAGAAAGAGATTCGTCGCTCCGTAAGTCACTTTAAAGAAACAAAGTCAGCTCAGCGAAATAATAATCAACAGTATTGTAACGATGGAGTAAAAATTTGCGGCCAATCCGCCGCCGTAAAAAAATATTAACTAGAATCGGTTCCGCTCAATTTATTCCCAAGACGTCGAAAATAAGTGACGATAAGGGGATATTGTTTTAAATGTCTATGCTTAAGAGATTCTCGACTAATAAAATATATTTTGCCGTTACGGGCGATTTGCCAGATTTTACGATCGTTTCTCTGGAAACCCGCGGTTCCCTGATGAGCTCGCAGAGATTTTGTAACAAGCCGGTGCATCGCCGCCGATTCAATTTACGAAAATTTCACAACTCGATTAACGGCGATACTTCATCCAATCGCGTTATGGCACCGACGTCGCCGAGTTAATGGACAGTTATTATGCCGGACCGGCGGATAATGGCCGATGGATATTGCGGCGGATGGCCGATATGGAGGCGCTAATTTTGTTGTCGCGCCCGGCACGCTACGTCAAAACGCGATCCCTGATGCTGGGCCGCGTGTACGCACACACGCACGCATTGTCCCCGTGTGTGGGCGATAGAGCCCTCTCGCGAGGCTATCGAGCGCGCTTTGATCCGGCGTCTATCGCTCTCGCTACTTTGATATCCCGATTAACCGCGATCCTCGAAAATTTTATATCGCGCTCTCACACGCCGTGCGGAATTTCGCGTTTTTTTTTTTTGGTACTCGACAATACTCGAGGCTTGGAAAATCGGTAATCACGAATGACGCTTTCTATTTCGAGCCGACGTCGAATGTGGAGGAGCAATCTGATCGATGGCGAGAGGGCGAAGAGGCCACGAGTACCCTCGCGTGGTTTCCGGGAAGAACCCGGGAGGGAGGGAGAGGGAGAAAAGTTAATCTTCCCAACTTTAAAAATAAATTCTCTCGAGGTTCCCGGGAAGGTGGACCACCGTCGGCGGCGATCGTTCAATCTGCCGTCAAGTGTTTTTGCCCGCCGTACATGAGCATCGCGATAATTGTACCGCGAACTTGCCAACTCGTCGGGGAGCGGCAGGATGTATATTTCATCGCAACCGAGCGGCTTCATCGCGGAATTGTCGCCCCCGTTATAGGCGCAGCCCGTATTGACTAGAATCAGCGCGATATACCTCGATGCACCGTGACTGTTGCACGGCTATATAGCAACGTGATGTCACTGCCACCGCACGCGAGTCCGCTGAATGCGGCGTATTGTGCGACGTCCCGTCCCGGTCCCGCCCGCGCGAGCCGTCCCGATAACGTCGTTCGTAGCTCCTGAGTGAGTTTGCGCCAGTTTCTGAGGTGGTTGCACCGCTGCCGGTTATTGAACATCGAAGCGACGCGCGCTTTGAGTTTAATTAAACCAGGTTATTAAGGGACGACGTGAAGCGCGAGCGGGCGAACGTGCGCCCTAACTGCTCGGCACACAGACCCGGCATTTGTAGAATCGACGGATAACGCGGAGTCTCTCGGGACGGGATATCTGCCGCGAGAGAACGCGGAGATAAAGACGTGTTCCTTTTCAGTTGATTAGACTGAAGCCCGATCTACATCTTCGCGTCTAGAGACATTTTATTTTGCAGCCAATAAACACGTTTAACAATTTTGTGCAAGTTGATAAACTGTATACAGGGTGTACTAAAACCACCGGATATCCTTTCAATCATAAATTCTTTAGAAATTTTCAAGACAAAAATTCTAATACAAAAATGTCGAGGCTATAATAGTTTTTAAATAATAAGCGATTACATTTCACAAATGACAGGCCTGAGATTTCGCGCGCGCAGGTACGGCGACACGACAAGTGATAAAGGTGTTCCTACGAATATCGCCCTTTTTTAGCATAGTGACAACTTTCACAACAGACTTAACGATTTATTCTCGAATTAATTGTTCCTCTTGTTATCTTTAATCATTTCTTTTGTTAACTTTGTGTAACGTCTTATTAATAAAAGGGAGGGGTTCACTATGATGAGCATCTTGATCAGACTGATATCCTTCGATGTAGTCGATCTCCGATATTCTGAGTAAACTTGGAATTTTCAGTTAGATTCAATCTAGTCTCCTGCCTCTCTTTATCCTCAAGTTTTTAAAATAACCGGATCATCGTCTTCCCAAATATTTTCTGTCCCGTTAAACGGTGACTTTGGTTCTCGCTCGCTCGCGAGTTTTCCATCGTGACGAGCAACGATCTATTGCAAGGACATTGTGCTCGATAACAGTCTGAAGCCAAAATTAATTCGGGCTTTTCCTCATTTGTGAGTTCTCTTGTGCGCGTTACCGCGAATACCGGCAAACTCTCGGTTATCGTTGAGAAAGTTCGCGTTTCCGGTTCTCCGCGTCGCATCTCACTTCGCGTCTCTGTCGAGGCGGAATCGGCAATCGTTTTGGCTTGAGGTCAGCCTCAGTGTAACCGAAACAGGAACACTTTTATCCAGGGTTGTAAACCGGAGCAAAAATACGTTCTTTGGAGCGGTTTTAAACCGGTTCGAATTTAAAAACCGCCCCGAAAACCGAATGAATGAAGTAAATTATTTAGAACTTGGAATGCAAATCGAACCGAACTGGTGAAATTTGCACATTTACCACCTCTCCAGCTATGTAGCAAAGACTCAAACGTGGTAAATCTTTTTAAATAAATTAAATCCTTTTTAGATAAAGAAACCGCTCCAAAACCGGTTTTTCATGTTCCGGTTCGAAACCGGAGCGTTTGAAATCATAATCAAAAATGGTTCGCTCCGGATCGGAACGATTTTATAATTGAAATTTGGATCCGTTCTCTCGGAGCGGATACACTTCAATGGTTCGGTTCGGTTTACAACTCTGCTTTTATCACTTGTCATGTCGCCGTGCCTGAGCGCGCGAAATCTCAGACCTGTCATTTGTGAAATATAATCGCTTATTATTTAAAAACTATCATAGCCTCGACATTTTTTTATTAGAATTTTCCCCTTGAAATTTTCTAATTTTAATCTGCGATTAAAAGGATATCCGGTGGTTTTAGTACACCCTGTATTATACATTGCACAATGTGTTTTGTCAACAAATTTTTTAAGCATCCAAGTTTAAGCGTCCAAGTCCATATCGATTTATCTGTATAAAATGTTTCTCGTTGCGAAAAGCACATTGTAGATTAGACTTGACAATCAGAGACTATACGGAGAAAATTTTCTCGTAAAATTTATCGTTAAAATGATGTAATTATGAGACAACGTGGCATTTCCAAGAATTTTATGATAGTTTTTGAAATTTTACTGTACTTTTACTAGTAAAATGTATAATTTTTCAAAAACTCTTCCATAGAATTCTTCGAAATGTCGTCCCACAATTACAGCATTTTCAGGATAAATTTTAAGCCTAATCTACAACGTGCTCTTTGCGTCTAGAAACATTCTGTTTTGCCAACAAATACGTTTACAAAATTTGTCCAAGTTCATAAATTGTACATTGTACAACCGTACATTGTCGACAAACTTCTCAAGTGTTTTGATTTGCTTATACGAAATCGAATCTTTCTAGATGCAAAGAACTGTAGATTGGATTTTAAGAACAAAT